CATAGATGGCGGTAGGATAGACATTGTTTCCACATTGTGCGAGAGAGTTGGTAATCTATACTCGTCTTTATCTATGGTGCCACCCGATATCAGGTACATGTTTGCATCCCTCGGAACACCAACCCTCAAAATTTAAAAACATCGAATAAATAATAGCTTTGAAGTGTGTGCGATATATTGCCGATTGAACTTGCCTGTAAAACAACAAATTATCAAAATTCCAGCAAGCCCATCGCCGAGAAACTGATAAGGAAATACCATCAACAATAATAGCAATGTCGACGTGGAAACTGCAGGAAATAAATATACTACGGCAATTTATGCAGGGCAGAGATGTAATGACAAAGAAGGGCCTGGAAGAGGCACAAAATCTACTCCCTGGCCGATCAATTTGGAAATGGATTTCAAGTCATTTTAGATTTTCGTCTTTTTTTTTAGGTGCAAAATAGACTCAAACATGACGCTACTTCATGACTTAGACTCAAATTCGAGTGGTTTTGAACCAGAAAGCGAAATTTAAATGTCAGACACTAGATGCAAGATTATGTTTAAGTGTAAAGTAAATGACAAGAAGGCAACGTTCAATAATAGTCCCACATCATTGGCCAATAAATCGGTGAAAAGTGCATAGAATACCGTAAACTCCTTATAAAACATCAGCTTTCATTTCAGAATTTAAAAATCTGTTGAATCATCCAGCAAACGCTTTGAACAAACTCAATATCTCCCATTCGGAATAATTGCAATTTATTTTGAAAGAAAGTCCTGAACTTGCTCAACTCAAAATAGCTTAGCAATACCTTGGACGAACTCCAACTGAAACTAGTCTCCACACGTTAGGCGTTCACTATTTTTCAAATTAATCTTACCTGAAATATAATTGAATTCACAGCCTCAGGCCAGGAAAACCATCCAAATCGATTCAACGCGTGGCCAGGGGGCTGCGTCCATAAGGATTTTGCCATTAAATTTTCATCGGCTGAGTAAGACGATAATTAGGGTTAAAAGATGAAAGCAGGGCCGACCCGGAAGGAAGTCCAGCTTGGAGGATTTCCTCCACCCGTCAAAGATTCATTAAAGATACGATCCAGTCCAGATCCGGAAAAACTTCCGACCATTCCCCATGCTCTGTGTAAACTGTAATGGAACTGCCAAACTTAGACGACAATGGACGATCTGGACGGGATATTGAAGTCGTGAAACTTTCGTCGCCGAGTGAAACTATCTGCAAAGAGAAATCCGTCGCCATTAGTCAACTAATAAAAATAGCTGTCGAATCAGGGCCAACTGAAATATCACCGCCCTATTAACCGCAAGGGCTGTTATCACGTCTGGAGTCGGTGTTAAACAGCGTCTGGATGCTGGATGGCCACTTATCAGGGTTTAACACCGAAAAAAGTCCATTTGTAAAGGCCAGAAAATGGAAGACTCCATCTCGACGCGTAAGTCGACAACAAAGGGCCGATAAGAGAAGGATTATTGTCCCAATGCCGCCTAACCGTCGTCTTATAGTCCCCCAATCTCCACACCAGTCATTTTCTGAATGTGCACATGGACTAAGATACTTTTGGCGTGGAAGTTAGTATAGATAACCAAACCTATACACAGGCCACTAGAATTAGCTTATCACTCAGTCCAGTTGCTCGAAAATCCTTGCCCATGCCGCTAGTCCGGGCGCAAGTTATCCAATTTCCTCCAGGTAGCTGATGATTGGCTTCGATTGTTTTTCTGGACCGTTAGATTGGACGTGAATGGACATAAATGGACGTCGATCAGCCGTCCAGAGCAGCGTCCACAGAAGTGTTTCGGACTTTGAATTACGGGCGAAGAGCGGCGCTAAATTTACCGCGTCCGGTGGGACTCCCCGGCCGCCCAACGAGACAACGCCGCCCTATAATTTACGAGGATCGCCTGGAAGAGATGGGGGGATAATATGGACTGGATTTTGTACCGGATACCTGTATTTTAGCCTGATATATTAGTGCCGTAAACGATGATTTAGTTTACTTTAAACTGGATGGTTTTTCCATTGGCTGAAGGTGGTCAATGTAAGTGAAAATCTTTTCCCATCGACGGGAAAAGAAGGATTTTGAGGATGCAGATCTAGACGATGACGATGGACAACCAATGCGTTCGAGTTTAATTTACGTTCAAGTGCACTTCGAAATTCAATAGAGTCTAATGTGGTTTTTGTGCCGACCCCTTCGGGCACGACACTGGTTTGAAAGCAAGAAAACCTTCCCAACTCCCTGTTTGTTCGTTATTCTTCGATCAACAACTACATTGGACTCCAATTTGCGTTCAAATGGTGGACTTGGACATCGAGAAGAGCCTAATGTAAATGTTGTGCCGAGCACTTCGGGCACGAGGGTTTCCATGCAAAATAGTCTTCCTAACTGTCTGTTTGCTGTTCTTCTACCATTGCACTCAATAAAATAATATAACACCACTTTTTTAATGGGAACTGAAGAACTCTATTTGCTGATGCCTTCAGATCTTTTAGATCGATTTCGATTCTCCAGGTATTGAGCATTTTTTCAAAGCGATGTTTTTGCTATTTTGTCAAAAACCAGTGGCAAACGAAGCTTGGTCTAAACAGGCCCGTGCTGTCTTTGAGGAACCTGTTAACCTTGGTTGTTCTTGAAGTTGGGCCAAACCCTACAGCCGCGCCACTTCACAGTCATGCCCTGAGGATGCCCAAATAAATATAGCGAAACTTGGGCAATTTCATGAAGCTCTTCTGTTGTTACAGCGATTGAAATTCCGCTTTCAATGCAAACTCGTTTGGATGCTCCTGAGACTCAAAACTCAAAGAAAGTTCGAAAACTTGGTGAAAAAGTGAAATAAAAACCAAACTGAAATGGACAGGTTAGAGTTGAGCCAGATTTGGCCTTTGTGGAGACAACGTAATATCCCCATATCGGGCAGGAGGGCGGCAGTCGCCCTTTCTAAAGACGTGTTTATCCCTGAATGGTCTGGACAAAAAGTGCAATGTATTTTTTATCCCGGCGGTCTGTTTGAGCGTCCCGAGAAAGCGCGAATTTCCCCAGGGAGCGCCGCGAGAAAAACAAACAGGGTAGATGGCTTTTTTCCTGCTGCCATCGACTTCTGGCGTTCGCGCCAGCCGAGAGCTGACCGGAATTGCAGCCTAATTTTTCCCGACATATCCAGAAAAGGACACCAGATGCATTATTAAGAAAACAATACGTTTCCAGCTCGTGACGGCCCCCGTATGCAAATGTGACGGGGCCCCCATTGTCTCAAGGACACAATTTATATTTCCCTTCTCCATTTATCAAACCTGGAACAGCCACGTTTTACCTCTCCTGTTTATGGAGTGGCTGTTTATGCGCTGTTCATCCAGGACGAACGCATGATTTATAGTGAAACGATTCATTTTCGAAACCGGCTTTGGATTCAATTTTGCTGGGCTGCTGGATCTGCATAATTTACCTCTCCAGCATCCAGACACTTTTTTCTACTGCGCTTTGCCTACTCAGCCTCTTTCTCACCTGTCACAGCTCGATCCGGAAGGTTTTTCTCAAAAATTGATAATTGAATATGAGCCAAACCCAAAGGCCTCCTCGTGAAAAAATTCAGGTTCCTCAAAGTCCACTCTTTCCACATTTGAAGCAGCAACAGTTTACTTTGCAATTCGCATCTTTGCTGCCAGAAAATCAACGATTTTAAGGGTTTGTCTCATGGCTCCATCTTAGAAGAACAGATGAACCTCTATTTTTGACTATCGAGAAATCAGTACCTGCGCAGAAGCTCTTTAGGTAGAAAATCCATGAAACAAGTTTGAAAATTTGATAAAATAGTTGAGGATGATGGTAAATTCGAAACGCCTTTGTTTCCGCTTAAATATTTTAGGTGCAGTCCTTGTGAAGCTCCTTTCTTAAATATACTGCATACTGCTTTGTGTCGTTTTATTATAATCTGTGCATTTCCTTGTCTATTTTGAATACATTTGCTTTTTAAGCATCGTTTCGAGTCCGAAAACGTCAACTCCATTTCATACATTTTCTTAATTTTCCAGCAAGAAATCTCCTTTTTAAATTTTAAATTGTCGTTACCAAAAATTGCCACATCCAGACTTCCAATCAAAGCTAGTTGGATCTGGGACGCTTAGATGTCCAAATGGTAAACGATTTATGCCTGTCGAGGAACATGATTGACACATTCTTTTCTTAGCTCCAGCAACATTTCAATGCCTGAATAAATTATCTGTCGCTGCAGTAGCTTTAGGAAAAAATCGTCACGAAACTCACATAAAAGCGAACATACAATATGGAATTAGTTGGCCCTTAAAAGTAAGAAGGAATAATTTAACTGGAACTTTCCTTTTGATTCGAACACTGTCCAATGTGCATTAATAAATCGACATTGCTCATAAATGTGTCTGTCCAACTGTTTACTTTTTACTGCTGAAATAGAACAAGAGAGCTTTATTAGTCAATGAGGAACATCCGGACGGACCTATCGCGTCCAGTTGCTCAGACGCCTGAGGACGGATTAAATCGAAACGTGTCCCCAAATAAGGACTTGGCATTTCGCGTGCCGTCAATATTTGCCATGAGCTCGCAATATTCATGTTCGTGTCTCTGGCAAGGATTCGGAGATTGCAAGTTACTCCCATTTCGTGCTTTCGCTTCGACCACCTTATGAGAACAGCCTTTTCTCTGACATTTTCAGAATGAAAGCAAATGACGGAGAAACATCGACAGTCCACAGCCGCCAAGAGGAGCCGATGGCCACCCGATCGGCCGTATTTTGCCCGCCGGGATTTCGAATGGGAATGTACGGATGGCGGAAGAAGTGCCTCTATGGGTTGATTCTAGTTCTACTCTTCATGGTAATAGTCAACTTAGCTTTAACTTTATGGGTGCTGAAGGTTCTGGACTTTTCAACGGTAAGTAGGAAGTTTTAGTTTACAATCGCCGCTATTTTTCAAATCACAGATTTGATGCCGATGATAAAGTCAACCCTCTATTAATTCCATACAGACAACAGAACATTATTATTTCAAATAAAAAATTGCCTCTAAATGAGAATGGCCACAAAGTCCGCTAATTATGGCCGAGGGGCGCAAAATGACGCCGTTCAGCGCATAAAGAGTAGCGAGGCGAACCACAAAACCTCTTTGAAAAACAGATTCAGGACTTTTTCTAATCATTCGCAATTAAAGCCGTGTTAATTGAGACTGTGTGCTGGAGGTCGTCAGTCGTTTTTTAAAATCGGCACAAAAACGCAGCGGAAAGGCGCTCTAATTAGAAAAGCCGCCGGCCTGCCAAATGCCGATTATTGTTTTCCGAGACGGCGGAAACTTGATCATGTTCCAAAGGCTTTTTCGGTATTTTGCTCGGAACCTTTGCATACAGGAAACAATATAAAAATGGGGCGGCGAAAAAAGTCGTTCAGGTTTAAACATGCTTGATACAATTCTTGACGTCTATTTCTGCAAGTAGCATTGTGTCATCCGCCCAACGTAAAAAAAATCAGTTTTTATAATGCATAAACAGCGCAATTGTGTCTCTTTTGGTTCTCGAGAAAGAAATTTTAATTCCGAAGTTTGCAAAAGCGAGTCTGAACCGTTCGACGCAAAAATGATCCAAGTTGGGTTAGTTTGCCGAAACATGCATGTCCGTGTCTGGTTTGGTTTTCAAGCAATAACGTATTTTCTAAAAAATTAATGAATCATCAAATTGTCTGAATTAACTCAAACAAATTATCAGCCCTCTCTCAGGCTCTTTTTCCAAGAACCTTCTTCCTACTTTCTCTGTATCCGATTCCCACTTCATTAAACCGTAAAAAGCCCCTTAATTCTCATTGCAATAAAATTGCCTATTAGTTAAGCATTAAATAAGGAGACTATTTCCAGGACGGAATGGGTCAACTGGAGGTCGTCCCAGGAGGGCTCAAGCTGAAGGGCAACGCCTTTGTCCTGGACAACCTGATAGCCAATCAAATTCGGTCGAGAAGCGGGGAACCAATAGTGATCGAGTCCAGCAGGAACATCACCCTCCGATCCAGAGACAAGCTGGGGAGATCCAGTACTGTGGTGCACATGGGTGAGTCATTCTATAGCTACATGTATTCAAAGTTTGCCTCCAAACCTTTTCTATCCAGGCATAGATAGCTTAGAGTGTCTAGCGAACAAATTTCAAATCCTGGACGATCGAGGTGGTTTGCTGTTCTCGGCAGACCGCAGGGAGGTGGTGGTGGGGGCGGAAACCTTGAGGATAACCGGAGAGGGAGGAAGTCGGTTCAGTGGCAGCGTCCAAACCAGACTAGTACGGGCTGAAAGTGGTCATGATTTAAGGTAGCTACTTTATTCAGTTTATCACGCACGTTCGTGATTATACAATTTGGGGTTAATTACAGGTTGGAGTCTCCAACGCGAGGTCTGCAAATCAGGGCGCCGAAGGAACTGAAGCTGGAGTCGAGAGGAGGACACATCAACGCACTGGCACAGAACGACGTTTCGTTTCGCAGCGAGATGGGCGCCATCCGTCTTCAGTCGTCGTCCATCATTGTGCCTCAGTTGCCCACTGCCAAAGTGACGAACCGACAAGTGGGAGCGCGCAGCTTCGAAGTGTTCCAATTGTGTGCATGCGAAAATGGCAAACTATTCTTGGCCGATCCCCATGTGGTGTGCGCAAGTGAAAATGAGGATAGCTTTTGTCGATAACAGTCCTAAAACCTGCGAGACTTACCGAAAACACTTTTTAAACCCCACTGGGGCGACAAAAGACTACACTACACAAAGGCTGTAGACAATATGCCATAAAATAAACCATGTAAAAAAATGCTATCATCCGCAGCATTTCAAAGCAGAACATGCAAAAGCAGACCAAGTGCTATAAAACCACATCTCTAGACAACCTTCTAGTCAATTTCTAGGTCCATTAATTAGTGCATCAATAAGCAATTGAAAGTGAATGTTGTAAAAAAGCGCTTTACAAGTTGTAATGTTAATGCAAATTCCACTGTACATATGTAATGTGTAAAAATATTTTATAAACAATGTTATCAGGCCCTTGAGGTTGTTTTGTTGGCGCTTCCTGCAAATATAAATCAACATGATCAACTGAAAGTCCATTTATTTAATAAGTAGTATTTAATGCAAAAAGTCTTCTGTTGGGAATGAAAAATCAAAAGTACTACTATTACAAAAATACAGACATTTTGTTTTGCTTTCAGACGACAAATACATAGATTTAAAAATAGAGAAAGAGAAATTGTTCTTTCGGTCTTCGATGAAAGACTTCTGCAGCATTCAAAATTTCCTCGCCCGAAAATAAAACATGTCGAGGCACTTCCATAAATTCAATGTATAAGGAAAAATTTTTCTTTTACCACTTAACTAACACCAAACTGACACTGAAACAAATTTTGTCCATTGGCCCACTTTAAAAATGTGACTTTCCTATTATATTGTAGTTAGTTCAACAACTCACTAGAGAATTCAATGTGAAATGTCGACTCGAACCAACTACACATTTTTTTGCTTAAGAAATATCAGCAAACGAGATATTCCCAGAAAAAGGCGATAATCTTACACCCAAAATATTTCGGTTTTTGTAGGCTAACTAATAGGAAATTTGAATTTCTTGAGCGGAAAACCTTAATAAAAAACCCAAACTCGAAATTTTTTAGTAGTAGGTAGTTAAATGGTTAAAAATGTGTTTAAAAAAACATAAATTTTATTGTCGCGAATTTTGTCACATTAGTTGAGGACCACCCTGTATGTAGGGATTCAAATTAATCTTTAAAGGCTATGAATGAACCCAAATATTCCTGCCTATGCTTTTATCAGCATGGACCAACTACATTGACGATCACCACCCTTGACCTATATGATGCAAACAAGGAAAGATACAGTTATATTAGTGCTATCTGGTCGCAATCAAACACAATTATATAGCTAATGCATACCGATAAAGTTGTAGACTTTAAAGCTCTCATTTACTCGGTTGTAGAAAACAACTGTTGCCAAAAGCACGATATTGCTGTTTACTCCTTTTAGAAGAATTGAAGACAAAACAAAACAATTAAAAATTTAAGTACATGGAATGGTCCATTTAAGTACATGGATTTCACCAAGAAGCCGCTCTGGACAAATTTCCTTCCGAAAAAGAAACTTTTGAAGTTAATTTTTCTACCACACATTTTTTTTTTTTTTTGGGAATGGTATTTTCGGATCTCTTTAGACGTTTGGAAAACAAGTATAGTTCTATAACGGTTCTCTTCAAAAGGCCATTATGACTAATAAAGTACTTTGAACCGTTGTTGGAAGAGAATTTCGGGAATTTTGACACAGCTCGAAAATGTTCACTCTTCACTCTAACTAGAGAAGAATAAGAAAATTTTCACAAAGTTCTATCCTTATCTCGATATGTTCATCCGTTTCTCAGATATAATTACAAGAATTATTCAAAATTTGGGTCAGCCTCAGCGGTTAAAAATTTTGCATCAGGGCTGAGGTGGAAGTGACAAAGCGCTCAGTCAAAATAACTCGAAGAACTTTTTCAATTAGTTTAGATTTTTAAGTTTTTTTTTCTGTGTCGGATTTATTCGGCAGTTAGCAATTTCCTGTTTTTTTGAAAATTTGGGGCTTTGGCACTTATTTCTTTACAAGTCAGGATATGCAAATAACATTTAACTGATAAAAGACAGCTTGCCAAAAGATCTATCTAAATAGAAAGATTCAACAGTTTAGACGGTATAAAGCTCATATGCTTTTAGGCCGGCGAAACGATTTTTTACAATTAAAAAAAAACGAAAAAATTGTTGAAAAAGTGCAAATTTCGAAAGTAGAACTTGGCCTTTTGATATACATTGAACAAATGTAGCTGGCCTATCAGTTCTTCAAAAATATCCGGAGCTTTTCCCTGCAAAAAAAAGTAAAATTTACCAACATTTCAGTGGTTTTTTGACATAAAAAAGAACAAAGAAACCAAGGAGTTGCCATACAGTATTTATTTGCTATCTTCTGCTTTAACAAAACCGTTCAAGGTTCAGCAACAAATTAATTTGACGGCACTTATACCTACTCGGTTTACTACATTTTTTTTAAATAAATGTGGCAACCCTCATACATTTCTTAAAATTTATAAGCATTAATTTTGACGTTTTCGACACATCAACTTAATGTAAATAAAACGATTAGTCACAAAATTAAGAATCTGAGCCCTTGATTGGACTACTTTTGGGTAATGAAATCCCTGAAACACCATTCGCAACTCGTGCAATTTTCAATTGCAAAAAGTGCTACGTTCAAGATTTGCAAAGGTTTTTCGGAATGACAGAAAAGGTCCTGCAAGTAGTGTTCTCCTAAAGTCGCCCACAATTCGTAAACTTTCTGTGATTAAAGAGCAAGATTCTTAGGTGATATCCACTCCTCTAGAGCTACCGAGCTGTTGTTACTAATTGCAACTCTTACCTGCCCTCATTATTGGAAAAAATTACGGAATAGTGCCTCACTTACCTGGTCTGTTCAAGCCAAAGGAGTCCTGACAAATAGGTAAGTGCTTACCTAATTCACTGCTTTCGCCAAATTCTGTAAAAAGGGGCACTTTCCACTTGGAGAACTATGCAAAACTATCATTTTATAGCTTTTTGAACAAGTTTTACTCAAATATGGTTGACAGATGCTTTCGGCTCTTGGACGCCATTTTTACCATGAATAACGACAGCTTTTATGGTGGCATTTGGCATCCCCGCTACAGGCCTGACCGCATAAAATATTTCAGTTAATACATATTTTATAAAAATTAAAAAGTCACTAATAGATACATAATATAATTTCATGGCGTAACGTGCGCTGATTTTTTAATATTTTTGCAATATTTTCACTAATATTTTTTAGTGTTCGCAACTCACCCCTTTTGACTGCTCTATAAAAACCCAAGAATTAAAACATGGAGATAATTAAAAACTGTTATTACTGAATATTTAAGTTGCTGTCGGTTCCTTTCGGTACATGCACTTGAATGTTTTCAATTTCGGTTTTACGCTTTGGCATTGAATCTTAAAAGCGCATTATTCAACTCGAGTTAAGTTGCGGTCTTCAATCGGCTAATTGCATATACTGATAGACAATGAATTGCAAACAATCGGCAGAATCCGCCAATTCGCAAAAAAAAACGATAATCCGCATAAGATGTTATAAACAAAACGATTTCGCAATTATGTTGTCGGAGTCACGATTCTCTTAATGCTAAAATTGCGGAAGATCATGAAAATTTTTTATATGCTGAAGTTTTTATGAACATTCCGTTCTTTGGTTGTTCTGGAGAATTAATGAGCGGACTTTCAGTCGGTTTACGACCGTTTAAAGCGATGCTTAAATTAATAAGCGCACTTTGTCTCATTCGCGTTTTGGGTGTTGGAAGTTGGCAGAACTTTTACTGCCAATTAAGTTGCGACTCGTTCAACGCAAGTGAAACTCATACGGTGTGCAAACGACAACAGCAGGTACGTTTTTGAAGTCCTACCGACTGCGCCCATAAATAATGGGGTTTTAAAGAAATGTGGCCCTGATCCAAAGTGCGGTCCAGACTTTGCCGTTCTGGAACTTTCCAACGATGACCGGCAGTATATTATGGACATTCACAACTATCTGAGAAACAAAGTGGCCATCGGCCACGAAAAGCGCGGATTTCAGCCCAGGGCTGCCAACATGCTAGTCATGGTAGGTGTTTACAGGGTGAAGAATTTTAAGCTCAATAAGGAATTCCAGAATTACAATCGGGAGTTAGAGTTTCTGGCGCAATGCTGGGCAAATGCCTGCAATGGAAACCCGCTGGTCCACGATAGGTGCCGAAGAACAGGTAACTGATGCATGTGGAAAAAATTAAGCTCTTAAGGGGAAATTGCAGCTCAATATGTCCATGTGGGCCAAAACTTGGGGTATATCAACAGCACGGACCCGAAAATCAACAAAATCAAAGCCATCAAAGACCTGATCTTATTGTGGTATGATGAGGTGGCATTGTTCGACAGTTCTTGGATCAACGATACTCAGATCAGGTGCAAAGAATATTAAAGAAACATAAATAGGGTACAGGGAAAATTGTTTTTTCTCCTCGAAAATGCTTAGGAAAATTCAACTTCTCCATGCGTCCAGAGCTGCTTAAATATTAATTTTTTTTGCACTTAGTGTCGACCTTTACAAGAGAGATAATTGTTGTTTGCTGGGACGAATTTGAATTTTTACTGGTTTTTCCGAGTTTTGACTTCCCTTGCTACAACTGACTAAACGTGTGTTTAAAATGATAATAATTGTCGAAACGAAGGAAAACTTTACAAAATTTAGATGGATTTGGAAAATCAACTTTATTTGAACATCAAGCTGAAATTCACTTCGGTCTCAAAGCTCAAATATTGCGAAATTTCATCTAAATCTACGTCTGAATTTTAAAAAGTCCAGTTTTCTCCTACACAAAGGATACCCTTTATAAGACTTTGGATTTTAGATCGCCCGATCTAGTAGTAGGCCATTATACGCAACTAGTATGGGCGAATAGTATGGAAATTGGATGCGCCATCAGCTACTACACGCATACTGTGCAGAATCGCATCTGGCATCAGTTAATTTTGGTGTGCAATTATGGGCCAGGTGGGAATTATTTGGGAAATCCCGTTTATGAAGCTGGTAGGACTGAAATTATGCCAAAGCAGTGGGCTGCTGATGGGGGAATTTGTTCCAGGAAAAGTCGCTACCAGGTGCCCTAAAGGTATGGAAAGGAATGCGATTTATAAGGGGCTATGTGGACAAACGCAACCGGTGGAAGAAGTTGGCAATTTCACTTTTGACCTGTTTCAACTGGAAGATGTCTAAAACAGTTGTTTAATAAATAAGTTTTTGCAAAACTAAGCGAGTTTTTTTCCTCAAATTCTCTTGTTGTGACACGCGAGTTGCACAGAAATTTACGCAAATATTAGCGCAGGGATATTTTTTTTTAACTAAAATTGAAGTTTTTAAGGCTTGTAGTCTATGAAGCGGTTTCAGTTGGCAAATATGCAATCCTTGCTAAATATAAAGTCGAAGTTTCAAACAATTATTTTACACCAAAAACTAAATTTACAGGCTAAAGTGGAAACTGTATCTCCTAAAACTGTAAGTCCAAAACTATCTTTGTTCTAAATACACTTTCAATGGCAAAATATCGAATTTACAAAGTCTCTGGAATCTTTCGCACTTTCGTCTTCGCACTCTGATAGATTCTTTAACAGAGACATAAAAATCCCTGCTGGTTGCGCCAGTTAAATTTTGATGGACAATGTTTTGGATCTTCTACTGGACATTTTTTGATCAATTCTCTATTTTTTTTAATTTGAAGTTAATTTTGTTCTTACATAAAGGTTTGTAAACACTGTTTTAGAAGAATTGAGGCAACTTTTTGAAGCCTCAAATGTTGCTTTTACTGTAAAGTTAGGAGGAATTATATTTTTAAAATCGCTCTGGCGGTTGCTGATAAAGGAACTAACGACCATTATCCATACTTGCCGATGTTCAACCAAGTCTGACGAGTCTGATGACGATAATTGCCCGAAACTGGTTTTTAAAATGGCGTTTTTATTGGACCCTTGCCCTGTTTTTGTTTTACTTTATCATACGTTTCTCAAGCTTTCAAGTGACGCTTTCAAATGTTAGTCATTGTTTGCAATTAAGTGTTCATTTATCGGTGTCTGATTTTTCAAAAACCCTCAAGTAAAGTGGATGAACAAGCGCAATAAAGTGACTAAAGATGTTGCTTAATAAATGAGATTGTTAGAAATTTGGCAAGTTTCTCTTTGTTTTAAAAAGGTTTCTTGTAGAGCAGTTGAGTTACACAAAAAATTGTGCAAATATCAGCGCACAATTATTTTCTTATCAATTGAAAATTACGCTTTACAAGACTTGTAGTCGATGAAGCTATTCAGGCTTACAAATACAGAATCGGTGATACTGTAGGTAGTTATTTTGTTGACTCTCTATAATAATAATTATTTTATACAAAAAATTTATTTACAGAATAAAGTGCAAAATTTATAGCTGATGATATGCATTATTGATCAGTATCTCTTCTTATTGGCTCTTAAAAACACTTCTCATTGGCAAACTAATGAATTTAGAAACTTGCTGAAATCTTCAACACAATCCTGTAACGGAAGGAGAGAAAAATATATTCGTTATTTCTCGAACTCTGGCAGATTCTTTCGTAGAAACATATAAACACATTGCAGCAACTGCTGAGTCAGTTAAACTTTGCAGTTTGGTAAGGTAATATTTAGTTCAACTGGACATTTTTTTTGGTCAACGTTGAATTTTTTAAATTTTATTTTAATTTTCTGACACAAAGCTTCTCAACTCGTCAGACAAAATATATTCCAAATTTCCCCCCGTGTAATACGAATTATTCGCCAGTGGAACTTTTTTATTGAAATGAAAACTTAGTTGTTCAGTCATTGTGTTATGCCTAAAGCTCATATCAACGCAAGAAAGCACTTTATGTGGGAATTTTAGTCACTCTTGGAAGCCTCAACTGTTACTTTAACTGCAAATTATCCCTTAAGTGTGAAGAAATTCGATTTAAAAAAGCCTTTCGGACGCTCGGAGTTTTCAAACTGGGCGTTTTCTAGTCAAGTCTGATTATGGCAATTGCTCGAAACTGGTTTTTATAAAAGCATTGTTTATTGGACCTGTTTGGGTTCTAGTTTATCATGTGTTTCTCAAGCTTTCAAGTGACTTAAAAAGTTAGCCATTGTTAATTTTAGTTGCTACTTGAACTTAAACTATTGCACCATTTGCAATTAAGATTTGCTTTATGAGTGTCTGATGCCTGAAAAACTCTCAAGTAAAGTGAGTGATCACGCAATAGAAAGCAAAATCATGCGAAATCTCGTTAATCCTCTCTTATCAATGAAAACAATATTATATTTGCTTTGTTCTCCAACGGTGAGTAAGTCATTAGCTGGTTTTATTAATACATCGACATTAGCACATCAGCATTGATTATCAAAGAGTGAAACTTAGTAACTTATTACTAAATCGGATAATTTAACACCATTGCTTTTGCTCTTTTGGTTGACTCCCATTTGGTAAATATCTGAACTGCATATTCCAAAATCCAAAATTTGAATTTAGCAGCCATCGGCGACGTGTCTAATTTATAAAACTTTAAATTAATTAAACCAACTAATTCTGTAGTAGCGTAATAAATCACACTATAAATGTGAGATCTTGGATGAATGGTCCCATGTTTTGGAACAGCTTTATTTCACTTTGGGATGCCGGTATCTCAAAAAATTTTGCTCTGGGAGGATTCGACCAAGTATACATTTTATAAATTCAGCTCAAACGCCGTTATACAGAAGGGGAATAAAGTTAGAGCCAATTGAACGCAAGCATACCACAAATGGCACGCCTTGTGCGCAAGCAGTGTCAAATTTAACAACTGTTTAAGTTCCAGTTTTTCACATAATCCTTAAACCAGATTTGAAACCTCCCTTTAATTTGGTTAGAAAAAATCTACCTAAAAAGCCAAATATTAACTGACGCGTATATAAAAAACTAAGCATTTGCCAACGCAGTTGATATAAAAAAAGTCTTATTCCAATACAATTTTTCGGATACCCTGAACATTACAGGATTTTTGAAATTAAGGAACAAAATTGCTACGAGGTTGCACTTTGCTGATTAAATGCCCTTTATCCCAAATCGAGATAGAAATTGGGCTTACAAAGTGCAACTCCCGATTGTTTCCTTGTTAATTATCTCCACATCTGCCAAGCAAACACGTCCTGTTTTTTTTTATCAGTATTTTCTGATTACACGTCCGCCTGCTCGAGGGTTCCAGCCTGAAACAGTCACATTAACTTGGCATTTTTTGCAGGTAAAGGCCGTACTTTCCTGCTGCGCAGGTGACAGTATCAATCCGATCCTAATTGAGCTTAATTGACGCTTAATTCACTTTGATCATTAAATATCAGAAAGTAAACTGTTACTGTTTCAGGCGCCAATTTTACGATGGCTAATTTCAGATACTTTATTGGGTTGATTAGTAAGTATTAAGCATTGATTAGTACAGTGGAAAAATAACAAAGGACACCTTTTTCAGTGATGGCGACAGCCGCTAGATCCATCAATGGGACCATGGAGGATTTCTTCCCAGATATCAAGCAAAACTTGACGAAAATAACTTGGGCCCATGCGGTTAACAACCAAACTTACCTCGATGCCACCCTGAAAAATGGTAAGTTCATCCTAAACAATTATCAAATAAAAATATCACAACTGATGAGGAAATTTACGCGTCAAGACATCAACATGATTGAAGCTGACATTGTTCTGGGAACACTTATAAACGGCAAGACAGATCCCATTCCCATCATGGGTCATCCGCCTCAGAACACTTCGGATCTGTCCTTGGAAGGCTTTCTGGCGCAGGTGCAGAGCTTTGATAGCACTTCGAACAGCTCGAAAAAGGGTATCAAGCTGGACTTTAAAACAATTGAGGTGTTGGAGGCTTCAAAGAACATTGTTAGGAGTGTTGCCGATAAGGTGAGTGGAAAACATATTTCTTGATATGCTATTTTTGGTCTGTGCAAATATGTCTGTTCTCGCTGTGTCTACACACGTTTGTCCAAGGATAATTGTGCAGGAGATGCGTACATGTTCGGACCAGTTGGAAAATTTTCAATTTCTTCAAGGTTCTCGATTGCAATTAAATTCCGCCAAACAGGCGCTCAACTGGCTGGATGTTTCTCGATTTTCTCGTGACAATTACAACGACTCATCGATTTTATAGTGAAATGTTTGGACTGTTTTCTGCTAAAAGCCGCAGTCGAGCTCAGTAACTCCAAACATTATTGGTCCGCTTAAGCCACGAAAACGTATACCTTTAATTGAATATTTTCGCACGCTAAAAGATGTTCATTTACAACTAGTATACATAAAAATGATAGGGGAATTCATGTTTTTGCTAAAAAATGTGATGCAAGCAGCAAATTTAAACTGTAGCTGGATAAGTAAAGCATTCACAACTCATGCCTATAAGTATAGAATTAAGGAATATACAGGGAAATATTGGAGTAATTAAAAAACACCCGGTATGGTTAGAATTAATTTCAGCTAAATTCTTTGGCCCCGGAGAAGATCATGCTTTCATTCATTCACTGTGGAAATTTAACTTAAAAATACTGAAAATCCGGTGAAACCAAATCTGGTGATCGTGACGGCCAGTTTACTGATGATTGTAAAGATCATTGAAAATATCTGAAATGTCGAAATGGAAATGTTTTTTTTTACAAAATCTGGAAACACTGAATTGCTTTCAAATAATATACAAAATCGAAGTCGTGTATGTAATAAATCCGAAAACCTACAATTTGCTGTTCGAACCGGCTCGAAGGACCAAAATGTGTGCCAGTGCAGCCTTTAACGGCGTAAAGCTGGGCTTTAATATTTTATTAAACCCACCGAGTAGCTCCTTAACTAAGGAAATTTTTGATTGTCCTTTCTCAGAAAAACCATGCACATTATCTTGGCGCAAGTCCTTCCGGATTTTTATGAATAAGGTTTGGTTTTTCCAGGATGATGACCTTCCCATCTGGATCAACGCTGATATCCTTGCAGGCCCCGTCAACGCCAGTACAAAGCCAGTGAACGCCAGCCGGTTCTTAGATGTCGCAAAATCATTCCCTAAATCCATCCTTTCCCTCGGCTGGACTACTGCTTACGATTCCAACTCGAATGGATCATACGAATCATCGCAGATCCAGGAGATGATCGACGTTATTCGATCCCACAACATTACGCAGGAAATAACGTTTCCGGTGCGGGCTGGATTAGCCGCCCGAAGTCTGGAGCAACTGACCAATCTTACGGAGAGCATCGAAAAATCTACATTGACAATTTGGTCCTCCGACGGAGACAATGTGTCTGTGGAGGACTTGAGGCTGTTGATCAGCAAAATTGGACTGAACAGAACGTATATTGATGTGCCCAGCGATCTTCTGGAGCAGTTGCGTCTGGATGATCTTCCCAATAGCAGCCCAAGTCGAAGTGTTGTTGGAGCTGCCGTTTGGATGCCGGTGCTCTTGGTGCTGGCGGGCATTTTCCAGAGCTTAAGCCTTATTTAGTCAATAAGTGTGGCACTTTAATTATATAGAAATAAACGATATACAATAAAACAGTATAATTCGCTTACAAATATTCCATCGAATACAGGTCCTAACTACAGCTACAACGGGATTCACGTACCTAAATACAAAACACGTTCTAGAATTTACAAGACTAGGATTTGCATACATTAATTAACCGGAGGTTAGATACTTACACGCCAATGTACAGGGTGGGGCACTTTATTCCAGACATTACCCCACGCGGAAATAAAGGATTATTTTGTATGTAGAGCTATAAAAATTATCTTTAATCGTCCTCAACTGTACAGTGTACCTACACTAAAGTTCAATCGTAAAAGTGGAAATTTAGGATTTTTCAAAAGTGGGAATGGTTTTAGTGTTAATACTTGCAGAGCTGAGTCAAAGGAATCAGGTGCATGTGGTGTTCTGCTTCAATATTGCTCTAATTTGTTCATTGCGGCATTTTTTTAGTAAAGTTCCTGCCGTCGCAAACATTCTAAGTTAGTCAAAAGTTAAGAAGATGCTTCTATTTCATCCGATTCTGGTTAAATTTCCACAGTCCAAAAGTCCCTTCTTCTTCATAGGATTTACCTATAGAGATTAAGAATACTATCGACACCTACGTACGAGAGGGAACAAGGCAGAAGAAACAGGCTTGGATGACGCACGATATTCTTAAATTAATGAAATAAAGAAAAAGCAGAACTAGAAGATTAAATAGGAAACAAAACAAACGAATTCATTTCAGGAATTCATTTTCATGGATTAACAGCAGTTGTAACGAAATTGAGGGGAAAAAAGAACGCAGCAGGGACATCTATTATTATTCCGATACGAAAAAAGGCTTGAGTCATCTGAAAATATTCGTTCGGATATTTCATGCACAAATATATAATAAATTAAAAAATCATACGGGTTACACGCAGTTTGGCTTTAAAAAGGGACTAAGAACGAAAGAAGCTTCGTTTGCTGTGCAAGTACTCGGCAGGAGCGGAAACGTGGACGCTCACAAAGACAACAGAAAGAAGTGTCGAAGTCTACGAAAAGTGTGGTGGACAAGCCATTCTTCCAATATCGATGTCCTAGACCGAATGGAGAAACTCATAAATGAAAGCAAAATAGAATAAAATACAGAACCAGACAGAAGAAGAAACTTGTGGCTGAAAATCTTGCGAATAGACCAATATGGCTTCATGATCGTCAACCTTATTAGAGGATGCGGCACCCCAAGAAAAGGAAAAATACTGAACTAAATTGGTCCACCCTGTAGATGCTAGGTCTAGAACAATAAATACCGTTCAGAGTACAAAAATAAATATTAAAAAACTGTCACTTTGGAGGCACTTAAAACGATATAAATAGTTCCCTAACTCTAACTTATCATTTTAAAACATCACATGGTGTATTTCGCTGGTAATTTGGACGTGTCTGGACAGGTCGTTTATCAAGATTCGTCGTATCGTGGACAGCGTCCTTTCAGCTTATTGTAGGGACCGTAATCGCAGGCGATTATTCCGCAATCCCGCTTCTGGATGCATCTGGAAATCGAGCCGATGTTACGGATGTCGGAGGCCTGAGAGAGATCCTACTTACATTCGATCGATTAGGCTGCTGTACTCTTTGCCCTTCCTCATTCTCAAGCAGTCCTCGTTGTCGTTTTCACAGTCACAGTAACACTTTGAGCCGAATTTGATTTTTGGAATGAACTCTTTGGGGCATTTGCACCTGGAATATTGGCATGTTACCTAAACAATTCCACTTCTAAGGAAAACTCACTTTTTCAGCAAACTTTCCGGAATACGGTTTCCTGCAACTGGGACTGAAATCGCGTTGTCAGCACGCTCAGCAACCCGTTTCTGCCTTTCCGTCGTGCTGCCTCCATCATCAGGTTGTGCTTCCGTTTTGGGTCGACACTCGCACTCTGTATGATTGTAGAATTTGAGCTTTTCCACCTTGGTGACGTCGGCGCCAATTTGCTTTACCTGGAAAGTTAAAGTGGTCGTTTCATTAAAGTGTAGCTAAAGTAGTTCAACAATTCGAACTGATGGCGGTCATAAAGGCGAGTCATTTTTCTAATTGCGCGCAACAACCGTAAATCACTGGCAGAAAAATTAGCCGAAGAACCATTCGATGAGCGTTCCGCGAAATTGCTGGTATTTCTTGACAACTCTTCGCCTCTTGATTTAGAGCCCGAGGAGATCGTTAATCTTGATCGTTTCAAGACGGGACTTGTTTATGCTCATTCTTCCCACTCGCCGTTTGATTAAGATGCAGAATCGATAACTAATCGATGTGTTCGAACGTGCATGATTTGCACACTTGTTTCTTCATTTCAATTACCAAAGCTACCTAGGCTGGTCAGGTCGTTTACAAGCTTTACAGGTGTTATTCTTCGTTTTTAGATAAATGAAATGACCATTAGCTATGTAAGGAACTTATTTGTGCATTTCAAAGCATGCTAATCCACACTGTGATTAAGTAAGGAAGAAAGTTGATGAAACATAAAGCAAAAAATAAGTCTATGGGGAGCTTCAAAAAAAAAGTTACATCACTCAAATTAATTATGTATTATTGCATATTCTGGTGAAACGGAATAACTAAACACTTTTACACCAATTCTGTTGGAACTGCAACTCTTGATTTGGCAAATTTTGAGAATATCTGCATGGATTCAAAGTAGCCAAACTCAACAAAAGATCTAAATATCTCTGGCATACCAAAGTCTCTTCAACCAATTATGCACTTTTTCCACCACCTGTTATTTCCAGATGGCACCCTGGATTTTCTCTTATCCGTTAGACAGTCCGAGACCAAAAGTAGCTTCGTCTTATAAAGAGAGTTTCTTCACAACGTTTCTTAGTGCGATCTGGATCGCGATCCAATATTTTTTGGATCCCAATCGGCCTTTGATATCAGCGCCACTTTCGATTCCGTGTTTTGACAGAGATTATTATTAAAAACTATTTGGCTCTTGTTCAAGTGTGAGGATTATCTTCCATTGTTATTAACCGTTTTCAGATCTATAAAAGGGCCAATATTTAAAACATACCAACAAATGATGATAGTTCAGTTTAAATACGTAAATATTTTCCAAGCCGTTGGTCCGATATGAATCCATTTTTGACCGAAAGGTTCTATACTTACACAAATCTTAAGTGATAAGGTAAGCAAAAAAACAATAAATGTTTTGTACGGGGTGTTTAAATACTATCCTGTTTTAATCTGTAAAGTTTAAATCTTTCTGGGGGAAATATGAGGTAGCACAGACAGAAAACAAGTAAGCATTGTTATAGCTCGATATATTCCGAGTAATTTTTCTTTTTTATCTACTGTTTATCCTTTCGAGGCTTTCGAGTGAACTTCATTTTCATATTTTCCTCGCGAAATTTAATAAACAGAGACGTAGAGTTCTGAGTGTGTAATAAAATTTAGTTTGCACAGATAAAATCTGCCCGGCCGTCAAAATAAAATACAAAGAGATGAAAAAGTATAGATGAAAATGACTGAAAAGGCATGAGGCTATAACAACGTATAATTTTTTTGCTTGAGCCTCCCGATATTGCCTGGAGAGGGCTTTAAACTTTAACCGAGAAAACATGACTCTATTTAAACACCTTGTTGAGAATGTTTATTACTTTTTGTACTTCTCGCATAACTTAAATTTTGCTCAAGAACAGAGCTATAAATCGAGGAAAATTATTGAAATCGGATAACCGACCATCATAGTCAAAAGTTAAGGAATATTTAAGCAACGCAATAAATTTGCGACGTATACATCAAAGCGCAATAAACCAAAAAATATATAAATTCCACTCGAAAAACCTTAAAGCGAAACCAAATTGAACACTTTAGCCTTCACAAACAATAAAACCGAACGTAATAATTCCACATTAACTGGCCGAATACAAGATGTTAATGATAAATTCCCGGCGATCCAGAGCCGTTACTCATTTATTTCTTTCGATGGCGCTGACTGAAGAAAAACTAACAGAACTGCATGGGAATAAACAGGAAGCATCCAGTAAACACACTTATGCATTTTCCTAAACAATGCCGTTTACATGAAGAGAATTGGAAACATTGTATTGAAAGAGCGTTTCGAGCTTGTATAAACTGCTTGTAGAGTGCCTGAAATTGATGACAATTTTCGGAAAATCGTGGTTTAACTGAAAGAGGTGGTTGGATAAAATTAGTGACGCGGAAATGTAAGGCGCTGTTGGAAAATAATGTTTTTTTGCAAGCAAAAGACATAAAGACAAATGACGGCAATGTCTGCTATTACATAGCAGCTGCGACATCCAGTTGCCGTTTTGCAAGCCAGACAACAAGCTGCTTGAAAATAGACTTTGAAAATGCCCCTCAAGATCTACGAGCATCGGCTGCATGCATGCAGGTGAATGTTTATTATTAACCCAGTTGGCTTCCCTGTTAAAATAGGGCTTTTCCGATGAAAATTATCAAAGCAACTGACTACTTTAATAGTGTGATTTGGAACGCCCTGTACATAAACCAGTTGATCCGTCTCAAGTCACGACTTATTTACCGTCTAAAATGTCTTGTTTAATTGATTGTTGAATGTATTTAATCGTGCGGGTACTATCCATGTTCAATTGTGCCGAAACTATTGAAATGATAATGAATCGAAATTGCATCATTAGAGTCGGAAATACTTGTTTCAGGGCTTACAACACGTCGGAGTGGCTGGTACAATGAACGGTTTGAGCTTGAACTATTTGAACAATTGGTGGGTGCCAATGATTTTCAATTATCACTGATGTCGGATAAATCAACGGCTAATGTGTTGGCGGTGCTCGTTAACTTCATAATGTCATGCAGACAATTCAGGTTTTTGTTAGAAGAATGAAGGTTTTTGGTAACAATTGTGGCTAAACACATTTGTGATGAGTCTTCAATGCTTGATTAAGCTTGAGTTAAGTGAGACTCTGGTGTACTTTTTTAAGGAGCGCCATCATTGGCTGAAGCTGGATGATCAAGTTTGGAGGCTCTTCAGGCCTGAAAAAACTGCACCGGGGCACCGGAGGTGCATCAATGCACCAAGTGTGAAGTCTCCTCTTTATTCAGTGGGAGATTTTTTAATGAAACGCGTCATGTGGCTGACTTTGGATGAAAATGTGTAGGATCTTTTCGTTTCTCAAAAATTAGTGACTGGTCACTCGCTCTATTCTTTGCAAAATTCTACTAGTCGTCTTTTCTTGCCTGCAAGTTTTCAGTCGCTCTGTGCTTCAGTTGAAAACTTGCAAATTCTCTTTGGTACACTTTGCAACATGTTTTCCTGCTGAAAATTTTGAAATCGCCATTTTATTCTATTCGCGAATTTTTTAGAAAGCGTTACAAGTGTCCCACGTTTTCCTAACATGTTCTGAAACTTTTTGAGTTCTTAAGAATCAAAGACTGTTTCGATTTCTTTCAAAATTTTACTAGAAGTACGTTATTTGCATTGTCCTTTTTTTCCTAAAAGTTTTAATTTAGCATCTTTTAAAAACTTCCAATTTTTTTGGAAACGCTCCAACTGGCTGATTTTGGCTCAAAAAGTTTGAGGTTTTTTGGTACTTAAAAACAAGTTGCATTCTCCGTTTCAAAAGTTTCAAAGTTAAGTTTCGATTAGCCTTCAAAAATTCACTGAAAGTGCCTTAATGCACTGTCTTTTCTCTCCTAGAACTTTTAAGTCGTATTTTGTTTTAGTTGAAGGCTTATGATTTTTTTAGGAAACGTTACAAGTGGCCCACTTTGCCTCAATAATTCTAGCACCTTTTACGCTTGTCAAAAATTTGTCTATTCTATCTCTTTTAGCTTAAACATTTTTCTTGAAGTGGTTGCACGTATTTGCATTTTCTGGCATGGAAATTTGAAATCTTCTGTTTATTCTGTGTGTGGAACGCATTTTTTTTAGGAAACGTTACAAGAGTCCTACGTTAACGCAACATGATCAGAAGCGTTATAGACTCTTAATAATCAGCGACTGTTTCAATTCGCTTCAAAATTTTAGTAGAAGTTTTAGTTTTACGTCGCTATCTGCTTCTATTGAAAAATTGCCTTTTTTTTGAAATTGCTACAACTGGCTGACTTTGAGTCTTAGGAATTCTTTTGTAGTTGTACTAAAATTGTGACTTTTTTGTACTAAAATACATTAGATTTTTTCGGGTCGATAATTTTTAAATTGGCCATTGCTTCTGTTGGAGACTATTTTTTTTAAACGCGACAAAAATTTGAAAATTTTTTAGTTCTCAAAAAGTTGTGACTATTTCTATAAGTTTCAAAATTCTACTCGCAGTGCTCGAATGTACTGTCGTTTCTTGTTTGGGAGTTTTAAGTGATCTTTTCGCCCTCTGGGCGTCAAGTAGGTATTGGAAGTTGTTAGAGTTTCAAAAATCAGCCAGTGTCTCCATAGGGGAGACATCAGAAATTTTTAAGAAAATGTGGTAAATGACTAAAAGTTTTCAGTCTCATCCTGTATATTTGTAACTAGAAATTTTGCCAAAAAGTTGAGTTAAGTTTAACCTATTTTTATTTCAGAAATTCAAGCAAACCTGATGAAGGATAGTAAATCTCAATAACATTTCAGTTTGAATGGCCTTAATAGCGAAAAATTCGTCTTATCTCTAAACCAATTGAAAATAATTTAAAACACTGTTGTACTACTTACATAAAAATAAAGGCTCACTTCCACCCGCTCCTTGTACTGGCATGAGGCGTCATATTTGCAACACCCTGTATCTTCTGCACACCGATGCAACACTGTGCAATGGGGGATGTACGTCACTGATGGGTTTGTATGCTCCAGATGAACCGGAATCACTTTAGGAATGGGCTTCTTGCACTCTCCAGAATTCCTCACTCTGATAAAGTGTTCCACCACAGCTGTTGTCTTGCTTTCTGCCAATAAAGTTTACACAAAATTGTAGTGTTTGTACTTGAACTAGTGTTTTATGGGCGTTTCCAGAGAGAGAGAAACGCGTTGAAAGATGATCGAAGTGAATAATTGCATGACCCGAAGATATCACGAAAGGCACGGTAATAATTGTGCTTAAAGTTGAAAATGAAGACCTCACAGATCGTGAACTACTTCGGCTCCCTAAGGGAAATTGCTTCAAGCTTTCATATGTTTTAATGTTCAGAAATGCATTTTTTACCATACTATTTCCTAGTTTGGACCGTTCCTTGGTTCACATTTTACTCTTTCTTTGATAGACGTTTTCCCATTGATTGTGGCCATGTTATTAAGCGCTTCGGCGAACGAATTTTAATATTCCGGGTTTTTGTTGATATTCGCATTGAAAACAGTTTCACAGTTTTTCCCACTAAATCTGTTAATCTTTTAGTTGATGGCACGAGGCGTAAAAATGAACTAATAATTCCCAGTCTCACTTTCTTCGGAACAGCATGATTTTGTACAAATTGTGCATTTGTAACCGTAAGGTAATTTTGTTAAGTTAGTTTATATTTACTTTCAGAACATCAGAAGTTTCACAGTTTTTTGTTCACTAAATACATCATTCTTTCAGTTGGATTGGAAGAAGACGTAAAAATAAGTTAACAATTCCCAGTATATATTTTCGGAGCAAAAACGTTTACAATGGTGCATTTGGAACCTTGGAAAATTCGGTTTTTCGGAGCAATTGCAATTTTAGTATCTGCAACTGTTTTGCCACCAAAAGTGGTTAAAGGTTTAACTTGATGTGAAAACTTCACACTTTAGGCTTTACGCGTTAAATTTTCATTCAACTGGAAAAGTAACTATTATTTTCAGGTACGTGTTTTTATAAATTAGAACTATGTACTTTAACACGGAAAACTAGAGCGGCCTTTAATATTGCGTAAAATAATATTTTTACTCCAAATGAAAGTCTAGCAAAAGAATTATCAACGTTTGTTTTTTTGCCAAGATTTACTGAACGTTTTCAACTGCATTGTCGAATCCCTTCCGTGATTAATTTTGTAAATTATTGTATCTAATTACTTGCTTACACTCTTGACCAATTTTTATGGGTAGGTAACATACATTTATGTTAATCAGAGTTATACTTTAGTATGGAATGGTTAAGTTGGTTACTGCTTAAGTCGATACCTTCAGAGGACTTTTTCACAGCGGCAGCAGCATCTTTCTGTTCCATGTAGAGTTTCCTAGCCTGACTCACTCGGTCCCTGGTGCCCAACTGGTTCCATTTATACTCAGTTAATGAGGAATAGGTCTGAGATTCTGCAAAAAATAACCAAAAGATTCACAGAAAAAATCCAGGCACAGAACTGTTACCTTGCGGATATTTCTTGGTGGACGACGGTTCCTCAGCTTGGAAACTAACTTCTGCGTCTCCATTGTCTGATGTATCAAAAATATTGTCCGGATAGTCGTCTTCCTGAAACAATGCAAGGATTAAGAAGCCTTTGATGTGTTTCAAACTAGCATGTTATTTGTGTTTGGTCGCAGACCAAAATACCAGACAAGGCGATGAAAATACCCCACTTTTCAAGAAAGTCACGTTTACAAATCAAATAACTTTAAGTGATTTCGTTTTGTGGCTGTGCAAACAATGAGGGGATTACGGGCCTGGTTTATATGGTTATTTACGTGAAAACTGCTTCAGTGGCGTAGCCAACGGGTAAAAAGCAGTAGAAGTTTTTAAATTAATTGGCTAGACCTAGACTGTTGCGTGATATTTTTCAATTATTTTCCTGTCGCAATTAGGCCCCAGAGAAAAATATATCTTCGACCGCACTAATGGAAGCTTGAAGTATTATATTCCGTCTAGCCCAAGCGCCGCAGGAAGACGCAACAAATCCAGCACTGATACAATGTAAAAGCCTGAGATTATAGATTTTTGAAAAAAAATCTTCTTGACCTTTCAAGCTTTCCAACCTGCGGATCATTTATCATCTGTCCACCCTAACTAGCGGTTTGCAAGTCCCATCAATTGCGGTTTTCTCCAGACGAGACCAATCTGAGCCCCCCAATAACAGCACATTGTTCAAGATGTGTCGGATAACAGGGACATGAGTCATTCTTCCTTTTGTCATGCCCAAGCAAACGAACTTCCAGGGGCCAAAGTTCAGCCCAGACACATTCAAATTGAGGTCAGAAAGGTTGCATCGTTCAATTGTGGCAAATTGGCTTCAAGACACTTAACAATTAACGTGTCATTACCAGCGACCACCGATGTAGCTCTACTCCAAATGGCACCCATTGAATAAAATGAGCGGTAATATGAAGAATCAATATTGTATGGACCCCGTAACTGTTTAGGTATATTGGATGATGGCACTTTCACTTGTTAGTGCCACGTCTCGAAACCCAAAGCTAATAACCAGACAAGCTGAATATGAATTCGGTGTGGGCCAATAAATTGTTGAAAATAACTGATTGGAAAGGCCACCTCACCTGTTGGATGCATTGCCTGTTCGACACACAAAAACTCTGTTTTCTTTATTTTTGATCCTATTTTTTGAGGGAGTGAAACCAGGTTAATAACACAGACAGATACAGTTGTTTGACAAAATTGAAAATAAGTAGAAATCCGAACAATAGGAGAAAATTGTATTGACAAACATAGACATGCAGCGACTGAATACAAAGATCAAACCTAAAGAACGAAAACTGCACTGATAAGGTTTCCGCTTGAAGCGCTTGCATGAAGACACTGCTTAATGTGCTTTTGAAGGTGTTTGCCGCATATGTAAACGAAACGGCAGGGAAAACTCCGGAAAATATTTTTTGCTGCGAGATTAATTAACGATGAAATGAATGTCATCCGCTACTTTGTCCACTGGAGCTTTTGTTATTACTTCCAAAACAGACCCCAACAAATTACGAGTTATTTAGTCTCCGGTTAAAATATTGGCAATTTACAGCCTAATTAGTTTATTTGTCTTGCGTCTACCAGGAACCGACCGCATTCCTACCGGGCTCAACCCATGATGTCATTTGCATACAAGCGAAAGGATTCATTGTATTCCAAGAGCACATCACCAAGTTATAAAAATTGCCTGGTGTGGAAAGCGACAAATTTGGAACGTTTTTCAACTTGGACAGTTTGGGGCAAATGAAGCTAAAATATCTTAATTGATCATTCGTGTAATCCCTCGTGATCTGACAGTCATCTTAATCCTTTTGGAGCGTTAACGGGCCCATCTCGACGCGGAGGGCTTCCAGCCCAAAACTGTCCAGCGGGATTTTTTTTGTCTAGATGCAATCAGAGAGGTCAACATCCAATCCAAGAGTCTCAGACCGTCGCAAGAAGACGTGGCCGATAAAATCGACGACTACCGTGAATGCAAAGTTGCTTTATTTACAATCACCCACGCGTGCAATATCAGCTCGAACGAATTACCATGGGAGTTTTGGCTTGTTCTTTTCTGCTCTTGAACATTTTTAAGCTCTGCTCAATTTACTCCAGTCGACATCAATCGATGAACGCAACTAAAATTGCAATAGACTGAAACAGGAGCAGCTAATTGATCAGCTAGCAATGATATTAGTCTTTATTGGCTGGCCATTAATCAATGTGCAACAATAATCATGATTAAGTAATACGTAATTGGCGGTGGCCGATGCAAAAACGCTCCATGTTCGGTTTATGGACAATCTTAATCGAATTAGTGGATGTAATTGGCGTGACATGCTGGAATCGTGGCTTTTGGCTGTCTTGGAGGGTTTTCTCGTGTTTTAACCAAAATTTTACCAATAAATTGCTGCTGGCTGAATTTTAAGACTTCTTAAGTTCATTGGTACGAGTCTTACACAAAACTAAATTCCCAGCAAGTTTCATTAGAATCCATAAAATAAAAAAAACATATTTTTTTTAATGCTTTTGCTATTAACAGCTGAACAGCCAGCCATTGTATGTGAATGAAACGTTTAGTCAGATTGTCTTCTTCTGAGCCCAGTGATGGAACAGTACTTGTTTGACCATGGGCTTACGATGCACCTTGTATACTTTCAAACATGATTTTTCTTCTTCTTCATTCTTGATTTTTGGCAAATTACCTGTTCAATTATCGTTGACAGACTGGTCTGATATCTTCGTTCCTCTCTATCCAGCAGTGTCTTTCCGGTGATTCTACGGAGTATTTTCATCTCAGCTGTCTCTAGGAGACTTTTTTGTTTTGCAGATCCTCCATTTAGTGTCCGTTCCCATACTCTTATTGCACCATGTGGCATTCAGACAGCCAGCTATTCTAATTTCTTTTGTTGTTTGATCTCTCACCTCTGCCTCAATAGCCCCAAAGCCGGAAAGTTGCACGCCAAGGGAGTTAAATTTCATTTTCTGCTCGATCACTCTACGGTCAAGTTCCAGTTTGCATCTTAGAGGGGATTTTGATGTTGTTAAGCACTTTGTTTTGGTCGCGGGTATTTCCGTATTTAGAGACTTGGCTGGTTGAATAAGTGTAATAACCTTTATAAGTCATCTTCCCGTTCTGCAATGAGAGGGGCATCGTCAGCATAACACACTATTTTGACTTTTGCATTCCCCATTTTGTTTCCCTTTAGCCCTCGAACACTTCGAACAATTTCTTCCCTTATTAAATTGAAAAGGGTAATACCGCTACCCTCTGGCATTGCTTCTGCGAGGTCTCCTTCTATTTGTGCTCGTATTTTA